TCCCTTTCCTGGAGAATGAACACTATTTTAGGAGACACCAAATGCCAGGAAGCTAGGGACCATCAGGACATGGACTGCTTTTACCTGAGACGTGGTCTCAGCTGAGGTGAGCATCAGCACAGCACCAGCATCTGTCCCCTTTCCTGGGACAGGGACCTTCCTAGAGCTGTGTCACGCACCTCCCAACTCCACGGGCAGGAAGAGGGACCCCGGGGGGGCGGTGAGCACCATTAGCAGCAGCAATCCTATTCAGGGCCGTGTTTGGTGATGCCGTTTTACAAGGAAAGTGAGCCAGAAAAGCTGCACGAAGCTATGCCTGGTGCTGTGGCAAGCCAGGAGACTGAAAACCATCATCCTGGATACCCTGAGATGAACCAGGAGAGACTGCAGCTGCGCAGCCCCTCACCACCAAGAGAAGGGCGAGGAGAAGACCCAAGAGAGGCAAAGGCATGACCCGACACCAGCATTACACACACTCGATTGCAGCGTGACGGCTGCCAAACTCACTGTGGGCACCAGGAGCAGAGGTCTGGGGTCGAGAGACACCTTGTCACAGGCTCCCTACTCTTGTGATCAGAGAGGTCAAGGCTTCCAGAGCTTGCGCTTACGTTCCTTACCTGCATCTTCTCCCCTTCCACCATGGAAGCCTGCAGCAGGGCTTGGGGCACTGTTTGCACCCCTCCTCTCGTGCAGGCACCTTTCCCAGCACTGGCACGGAGCCCTTTGAATTTGCACTTACCCATCCCAGCAAAGGAGCGTGCTGTGTGGGATCGGTGAGTGCCTGACAAAGATGGGGAGGGGGCAGCTGTCCTGGCCAGCAAAACCCAGTTACATGGGAAAACCCCCAAAACTTCAAAGTCCTGCACGCAGTCTTCTCCAAGAGTCAATGTTCTCCAGCCGCTCAATAGCTGTGCCAGTGCCTGCACATATCTCCAGGGACTTCATGGGGAGCTCCTTCCTCAGCCAGGGTCTTGACAGCCTGATACCTCAGCCCATTCTCCCCCGGCGCTTGCCTGTCAGCCAGCAGGTTTGTCCCAGCACCCTCCAAAAAAGCTCTGCTTTGCTCCAGCCGAGGGATCAGCCCCGTACAGTTCCCACTGCGGGGTCAGCAAGCATCCCACGAGTAGTGCAGCGAGCGATGCTCAGCCGGTGCTGGCAGCTCCTTCTGCTTCCCCAGGCAAAGCCTCCCCATCCCCAAAACCTGCCTCAGGCAGTAACACCCCGACCCGTGGCACTGACCCATAAGGCTCTCCAGGGAAGGCTGAGCACCATCACAGAGGGGTGATTGGCAAACTGGTACCCAGTGCCCTGAAGCACGAGGCAGCTTTGCCCTGCTGTGCGTGTCCCGGGCAGATCAGCTCTCCTCCTCGCTTTTTCAGGATGGCAGCTTTCACCAACTTCTACCTGTTCAGCAAGGAAAAATCATTCCATGGAAGAAAAAGGACCTTCTTCACGGGAGCATGCTCTCTCCACCGCAGATGAAGATGACGCCCCCTCCCCAGAAAGACGAGGACATCAAACGAGGATGCAAACCCAAAGCAACCTCACGGACCACCAGTGTGCTCGGGGCCAAGCTGATCTCCCTGGTCCAGCAGAGCACAGAGGATCCTGGGCAGTGGGAGAACACGCTCCGCAGCTGAACACCCACCAGATTCTTTCTTACCAAAAAGCAATTCCTGAACACACTCAAGCATCTTTTAATAATCAGCTTGTACAGAGAACTCAGGAGGTTTGGGGCTAATGAGGGATTCCCAGCTTTGGGGGCGGATGAAGCCTGTGGAAGCTGTCCCCGCATGATGGGCTTCTTGAACCAGGGCAGGGCTACCGGAGAAACCCCCGTGTCGTACAGACACGCCGAGCGGAGATTTAATTCCCAGGATCAGAGATTGGATTAGCGCCACGTGATATGGCATACCCACACCACAAGAGGGAGAGCTGCTCAGCTTTTCTGCTCTGGAACTGCACCAATTAAAGATTTCTGTGTCACGTAACATCAGCGTATAGCCTGCACCGTGCATGATGCTCCAGCCAGACCCTCAGCTCACCGGCGTGCATCGCCCAGGTGCCCTGCCAAGACGCTGCCTCCATGGCCCGTAATTATCTGAAATATAGAGGTGAATCTCCATTTCTAGTGGAATGATGCATGACTCTCAGTGCAAAACCCCTTTTCTGGCGTTTCTGAAGCAGCGCAGTGACCCCACTCCCCGAACCCACAGGGGAGGGAGGGTGTTTAAATCGGGTACCACTGCCCGCTGGCTCGGCAGGCAGACAGCACTGGGTTGTTGCAACCATTCGGTTTCCTGGTCGCTGAACAGGCAGCAAAGCTCTGGGATGCAGGCAGGAGAGAGCCAACGCAGGGGTCAGGCCGCAAGGGCTGTCACGGGGGATTCTTGTAGGCAGGGAGCTCAAACAGCTGCCCAACATCTGCAGAGGAACAGGCGTTTGGGCCCATGGGGAAAGCAGGAGCATGTGGAGAATGAACCATAGGAACCTCACAGTCATGGGAGCACTTTAAAATTACACGCTCACGCACAAAAAAAACTCATTACGGGATTTTGTAGAGTTGCCTCCACCTTTTAAACAGCATGCAAGGAGCATTTTTTAAAGCAGGTAAGGATGCATCTGTGAGGAGTAGTCCAGCTGCAGCTGGAAGGCAGAGACTAAATAAGATTGGCATTCTTCACCCATTTTAAAAATCAACTTTCACAGCAGCTGGTTGGAAAAGCCCAAATGACCTTTGGTAGTGTGGCTTGCAGTGGTTTTCACTCACAGCTTAAGAGCAAATTCACCCTCCAATCAGAGTATCCCCATCATCTCCCACAGCTCAGACCCGCTGCGTCCCTCTCTTCCAGCCGCCTCCTGAGCAGCTACATTCTCCCCCCTGGTCATCATGGGCCTGTGAAGCCAAGAGCTATTTTCCTCACGCCTGGGGCAATAGGAAGGGTCACTAGTATTTGAAACAATTATTTATTAAATAAAGTCACGCATGTTTAGTCCGTCATCGTGAGGTAAACACACACCCCCCACGCACACTGCCAAACGCTGCATGTGACAGAGCACTGAGGATGGCTGAAAATCCAGTACAGCCCACAGAATTCCTTGCTAAAGGAGAATTGGTCTCTGGTATCCCCAAATACTCTCCCTGTTCCATTTACACTACCCAAATGTTAACCCCACTTCCATCATCTCTTGCTTTCCTAAGTACCTTACACTTCAAACCACCACAATATTTACCAGAAAGAAAAATTACCTTTATCACTGCCTCCTTCCCAATTCATTACAGCCTTCCTGCCATCTCAAACTCCAGCCTCTTGCTAAAGGCCAGGGCATGGCTGCGTCCCTGGTGATACCTCAGCCCCCGATGCCTTCAGCTCCCACCTTCCCAGCCCACTCTCCACAATAAACCAGTTTTGGCTTCAATCTTCCTATCCTTCAACAGTCAGCTCGGTCATTTGTATCTGCCCCCACCTTCTCCCCTTCCTCCCTTTGTTCACAAATTCACCCTCAAAACACACCTTGCTTCTTAACTTACCAAAATACATTCTTCAGGACAGAGACGAGGAAAACTGAGGTGACCACGATATGGAGCAATTAAATATGTAACCATGCGTGGGAGCCAACACTAGAGTGTGCTGTGTAAGAAATAACCTCACGTAACGCAGCAGGATCTCTCCAGACAGAGTCAGAAACACCAAAGAACTGGATGAGTCATGTTCTGCCTTCCGGAAAAGCACGAAGCTTCCTCAGAAATCCTTGGTGAAGGCAGAGAGCTAAGCAGCATACGCTGGGTCCTGAAGAAAGCAGGAATCACATCCAGCACAAGGAAATTAAAAAAGCAGAAGCAAAGCATCAAGGAGAGAACGACAACAGATATTCCTCTGCCTGCCTTAGAAGAGAACAACAAGAGATAAACCAAACCTGCTTTATTCTCCTCCTGAATTCGTTCATTTGAAGCATCATGATAATCAGGTTTTGCATTTCGCCTGCAAGCCTGGCTGGAGCTGGAAAGGCCGCAGAGAAATTCTCAGGATGAAGCCACAGCAAATACCCCAGAGCTCTCGGTGCCTTCCCAAGTCCTGTCTCCGACGCCCCAGGAGGAGCCAGCAAGGCACAGACCGTCAGCGACCCTGCCCAAAACCCCAGGCAAGTCAGCACCCAGCACAGCTGAAGGTAATTCTGCCTTTTCATTCAGCGTTGGAGGGACAGGCTTAACTTAGATGAGAAAACACAAAGCGTTTAAACAAAACCTGTGTGCTTTTTTTTAAAAAAAAAACAACCTTATTCTTTTTATTTTGACAAGAAGAATTAAATTTAGAAACTTCTCAACATACAGAATTAAAAAAAAATTCTAAATCACCTAGTTAATTTAGTAAAGAGGAAAAACACAGTACATACAAGACTCAAGCATCCCGTAGGTTTATACAAAAGCCAGACTAATAAATTGCATTAGAAGTAGATCAAGGATTGCCTGAACGATTCCACATGGGCATCTGCCTCATTATTAAAAGGCACAAAGACCGAGCACTGAAAGTGTTCGGCATCACATCCATTATTGTCAGTAAATTCATCAATATTAGCATAAAAAAAGTTATTAAACACTTATTTAATATTCACCACGTCGATCAGTAAGAAATCCCTTTTGGAAGGAGTAAGAAAATAGAGTCGGAAAGGACAAACATTTAGATACGACATCCCAAGACGCAAAGGCTCTTCCAAGAAATCTACCTTCAAATCTTCCCAGAGTAGTTTTCCTGGCTGCGTATCACTCAGCAATCATTCCAAAACGATTTAGCGACCCACAAGCCCGCCTGCCGGCAGCGTCGCCATATGGCAGCAGCGGTGGACACGCCGAGAGCCACGCGGCTATGGAGGTGTCGGCGCGCTGCCGGCCCACCGCCGGTCTGCCGGCTGGTTCATCGCACCCGCAGTCCGAAACAGCCAGCGCAAACCAGAAACAGGTGGATTTGCCTTTTTTTAACCTAATGTGAGGCTCCCCCGAGTCACCCCGGGTAACACATGCAGCAGCCGGCTCCGGCGAACTCGGGGGCAGATCTCTGTTCTTCGAAGAGTCTTTCGCTCAGCTTGTGCTCGGTGATGATATCTTCCACCCGAGTTATGTAAAGCAAGGATAACAACACTCCCAGGAACTGCAAAAGGACGGAGCATCTCCGGTCAGAAACCAAACACGGCTTACCCAGCGCTTCTTACAGCGGTCTGTGCAAACGACGTACACGTGCGCCAGGTACAGGGGCAGGTATGCGGTATGCACACAGACAGACCCACGTCGTTGTTCTTCTTCACATATAGGGGTGGGTATAGATGGATCATTTGTGGGAAGAGCCAATACAGCAGAAGAATTATCACCCCCGTGCCTCGGAGCAATAATGAGTTTTAATGGACGCTGCTAGGGAGGAGGAAAGGACTCAAAAAAACCCGAGCAAAAGCCAATTGACCCACCAAATCCTGCAATGTATCACAGTAATGCTACTCAGTGATCAGAATGCCACCTCAGCCTATCGGTTCCGTTAAATTTAAATAAAAAATGATAATTAAATATAGTCAAATGGGATTTTGCGTACCGTAGCAACAAACCAGACACTCCCTTGAACGGGTAACACACCACCCCCTTCTTACCTGGGGTAGCAATATGCCGAGCAGCACGCCAGCCATGATGCTGTAGTTGTCCAAAAACCAAATAAGCACGGCATTGGTGCATCCGCGGACGTATATAACATGCTGAACGCTCAAACGCTGCAGAACAATAGAGCAGGTGTTCAAACAGGCAGCTGCGCTGGCGTTACGATACAGCAGCACACGATAATTCCAATTTCAGGGATGCAGATTTGGTCCTCCTTCTCATCTCTTTAAACCCACTGAATTTGACACAGACCTCATCGCTAATTCTTCCATCTGTTATTAAGTTGTTCCACAACCAAACAAGTTTTTTTACTTCTCTTAAACCTTCTTTTCCCAACCGTTTTTCTAAAAGGAATGCATCCCGTTCTCATTTTAGACCACTTGGAAAGTAGAGAAGTCTCTCTTCAGCTTTTACCTCTGCATCCAAGATGGAAGTAGAGCAGTGGAAAAAGAGAAGTTGCGGACCAAGCGCTTTGCAACAGATTCTAAAAAGGGCAGGAACAAGAGATTCGGTCCCGCACGCTGCGCTGCACCGTGACCCCAGCCCATAATATAGAAAGCACTTAAGGCTGCAGAGAGTCCTAAGCAGATGAAAGGGGCGAAGTTAAGCATATGCTTAAGTGCTTTGGGTGACAGAGCCAGGCTGGAGCGTTCAGGTGATTAAGCCATAAATCAATGAAGCTAAATGAAGACAGGTCATATGTAAAGATAACTGGTAATCCCCAAAACCAACAACTGAAGTCGGCATTGTGCACCAAGTGCCTCACATGAGCGGGGGAGAGGGGCTTTTTTAAACCAACCCCCTGCACCAGCACTGCAAAGCTAGGAGTGGAGAACCTGCGGCAGATCCAATTACCAATTTCCCCGCTTAATCACTCCGCAATTAGCCAGAAGTCTCTACTCTGGAGGCATTGAGGCTATTCCCAAGAGGGCAAAGCAAAGGGGGAGGCCACATCCTGCTCCAGGAGGAGGGAGGAGAGGGCTGCCAAAGCAACTTGGGAAATCCCACTCCTCTTCCAGGAATAACTATTACAGGCTTAAAAATAAGACACTGGGATAAAAAATACCTAGAAACAGTTAAGTTGGCTTTACTGAAACCGATTTTACTCAGTGAGAAACTTTGGCTTTAAGCATTGAAAGCCCTCCCCAACCCAAGCCACTGCTTAAAAGCATCAAAGCATCTTTCTTCGTATTAGTTATGCGACGAGCGTCAGGGGGTGAGCTTTGGGAAGGAAGACCACATGCACGTCAGATAAGGAATTGTGGAAGGCACAAAGAAGGGAAGATGCCATAAACAAGACTAATTTTTTTTTTTTAATATATGAAAGTTCTTCCAGATAAAATAATTTTAATCGTTAACTGTCTGGTAGATTTAGGCAGGCGGAAGACAACTTGGTAAGTGACCAAAAAAAGCTGTGCAGAGAAGCACCGCCCTGTGCCATGACTTACGTTACCTCTTTGTCAATGGTTTTGTATCCGCACATCGTGTTGACAATGTCTGTCTGAAAAGAAAACAACAAATATAAACTACAGCAGGAAACAAGAAGTCACCAAAAAACCTCTTTTTACTCTTCTGGTGTTCCCTCAGCTCATATAAAAGCAACAACCAGGGTTACTTCCCAGTCTGACCCCAGTTGCTTCCAGCACCCCCAAGGTCGGATTTAAATAGAGCTCTACATGATTTCAGAGAAATCAGTGTGTCACGAATCAAGACGTTTGAACCGTTCCCATCCGGCAAAACTTAGCGTGGCGTCCGAAACCAAAGCTAGCTACAACGGAGCTGTACACCACAGCTGTTTCCACAGAACAAACAGCTGGTTTTAATTTTATGGCCTTAATAATTCACCACAGCTGATTAAGAAAAGCAGGGGTTAACACGGCCATCGTGCCATCACGATGACAAATCTAAGCTCAGAAATACCTAAACCCCAAGTGATGTTCAATACTACGAATGCTTACATGAACATTCTGTGATTTTACAAGACCAAATTTATTATAATATATGCTTATATATCATTATAACTATGAATATGAAGTTCACACAGACAAAAAAAGACGATGGAGCACTTGCAATCATCACAGATTACTAATGCATTTTCTGCGGCCGTGTAATATTTCGCCTGGATCCCAAAGCTCTACCTGGCCTGGCAAGGCTAACCTCAAAATACCATACTCCAGTCACACCTCCGCCGACGTAAAGCCCACCAGCGACACACAAAGCCAAGAACAAAGCCAAAGACACGGAGGAAAATGAAAATAAACAACTGAGGGCAGTAAGGCAGAGCAAACCCTACTGTATTGATACACCCTCTCTCAAAATTAAAAGATGATGCAGAAATGAGATTTCTAAATGCTGGCGGCCTCTGAGCGGTAGGCTGGGGTTCCCAGGTCACCTCCCCAAGAAGGAAAAGGGACATTTGCGAAAGATGTGAGGGAGGTGGATGTTACATGGCAAGAAAAAAACACCAGCCAGGGTCAAGATTTATAAGCCTCCAAAAAACCGTGCGCTTTTTTGGGGGGGCCCTGAGGGGTACCCATCTGTCAATCCCTTACCTTCCAAATACGCTTGGAAGTCAACATTTGGAATACCGGGCACCCGCGTGTTGCTGTGTCTGCTGGGAGCGATCTCACAGTCACAACACGCTTGAGCCTAACCCAGAAATGCGCGGCCATCCCCAGGATCCGGGACTGCAAGGAACGCAGCTGCATCACTTCGTCTTAAACACAGCATTTGCTAACAGGGCCCGGCAGCACAGGAAGACATACGCAACGGAGATAAGTGTATTAGAAACAGGGATTTATAGGCATGTGGGGACTAATTTTTCTCTATTACGCTAGTGTAAGTCTTTAATAAATACTTTGACTTGAAAATAATCCCTTCAGAGCCCCCCCACGAGCCTGGCTTGTCTTAGCACGGGGCTTTTCAAGAGGATCAGGATGCAACCTCCGACATGAGCAGGAGTTTTCCATGACTACAAAGCGAATGAGTAATCACAAGCCGTATCTGTAGTTTTCCAGGACAGAAACCAGCCTGTATTTGGAAGCATTTGTCAAACACATAAGATTTATGCATCTTCTGGTTGGGGTGGTTTTTTTTTTTTCCTCCAAGGCAGCTGGCCGTACAGCCATGGTATTAGTGTCATCCTGCTGCGTACACGTCCATAACGAAGCGTAGGGAGAATGTACTCCCTGTTTTCCTCGGAGGAGTTTTTTCTTTTAGCGCTTCCCTGCCTTGTCAGGTTGGATTTGGAATCCACAACGCGTTGGGTTGTTTGTGCCAGGGTTGGAAAGGCACCCGGCGTTATTAGTCACCGATTAGCGCAGCGCTTCGCCTTCCCAGCGCTGCTGCATTTCCACGCATGGGAACTAACCCTTTAAAATAAGGTTTCCCCGGAGAAACGAGAGCTACAGCAAAAGTGGTGTTATTCTGAATGACCGCTAAAAAGCCAGATTGCTCTTTTACTCGCCAGCTCTACCTTCCTTTACCATCAACCGAGGGCAAAATCCTTAGCTCCCCTGCTCCGTGCAGCTGTGGATCAGCAAATACTATTTTCGTATACGTGACTTTCTTATTCTGAAACACCTAAGGCTTAAAACATAACTGTTTAGCTTTGGCTTCTGAGAATAAATCAAAGCTCAACACAGCTTTAAACAGACACCTTCACGTACACAAAAAAATGTGTAGGCATACGTAATAAACACCTTTGTACTATACACATTTCTCAGCAACACCCAGCGGGATTAGTGACACAATTATTGCATTTTCTTCCTTTTATTTTTTTAATTAAACACCCGTGCTTGAGGCAGGCCTTGAAAGGGCAGCACGTAGCACGCACTGGTAGGCTATCCATCACGAGCTCTGCCACATCTGCTCTTACACGCACTCAACTTCTCCGTCTCATGGTCACACCAAACCCAGTGAGGCAGGGATTTGCCATACTAGTTTTAAGCTGAGGAATAGCTCTTCATCACATTCAGCATGACATCCATCCCTCAAATGAAGAGCGATGAATTAAAACTGCTAAAACTTACACAAAACACAAGATTGGTTTACACGGAACTTGACGCCTGCTCCTACCGCTGCCAGCACCAGTTAATGCCAGCTCATCGTCGACCAAGAAACTGTTCCAGACTCCAGCTGACAGGGTGCCCTTCCAGGGAGGATTTTATAGGGCAGCAAGGCAGGCAGTTTCCAAGGATGGATTAGGGCAGAGCAGCAGCTCCGCTGCCTGCACCCAGCAGGAAGCACTGACCCTGAGGTCATCTGCATCCTTTTCTGGCTTTTTCTGCATGATGGGGCTGTTCTGTTTGGTTTATAATTCGTGCAGCAGCTGGTGCACATCACTCCAACCCCCACCCATGGAGGCGGGGGGGGGGCCCAGGCTTCTTGACAGAGCCGGAGCCAGCGCACGGCTCCCTCCTCAGCAAGCCCTACGGAAAACACCAGCAAAACTTAAATTTAAGCAGCCCTGGTGCAGGCAAGGCTTAGAGGAGCTCCCAAGATCCCTTCTGTGTTTCCAGGAAAGCACAGCGGGACAGTAACATGGACCAAAGCCAATACATCCAACTCACTTATTTTCTCCTTTTCCAGATGTCAAGACCCATGGACCCACAGCTCCCGTTTTTTTGGGAAGGACCATTTTCCTTTGTGTCTTACCTAAAGCAAGGTACCTTTTCAAGCAAACACCAGCAACCCGGCAGAGAGGAGCGATGCCGAGAAGCCGGGGCTTGGACTCACCTTATTTGTGACGCAGCACGTGTAGGGCACCCCGCAGGCCAGCGGTCCCGGCGCCGCGCAGTTGTGGTACACGTTTTGGGACCAGTCTCTGTAATCCTCCCCGCCACAGCACTTAAACTGGAAAAAACCGACACAAAAAACAGAGGAAAAAAAAATTTAAAATCGTATCTTAACAGGAACTCTTCTGATAAGTAAGGATAAAGCAGTTTCAAGAGCACTGAGCTGCCCAGCGATTCTGTCGTTTTATCAGCAAGGCACATATGAATGTGTCTGACAGATCCAGCAGAAAAGAATTAAAAGGACATAGGTAGCGTTCTTCTGTCACTCATCGAGCTACTACCCAGGGTGCCAGAGCAAAATACTCGGTGCTAAGTACCATGTCCCATCTATTCCGAGTTGAAACGCTCTCTTTTCAGGTCTGGGCATCATTAAACGGTGCTTTTACATTCGCTTGGTCTCAAGGTGTAATATACTTTTTTTTTTTTTTTTAAGAGCTGTGACTACATTTCTAAATAAGTCTAAAAGACAAAAGTGTTCCCGTAAGGCATTTAAAAAAAAATCTCACCCCAACATTTTGGGAGCAATTTACTAGAACTGAGGTCTGCCGGACAAATACTGTAAGTTTACTTTGATTTAATACAAATATTAGCTTTATATTTTAAATGCGGGGAAAAGCAGAGGCTTATTTAATCACTAAAACGTACATTCACTGTACATGCATGTAATTATGGGCAGCGCATGGAAACTTTAAAGCATTGGGAAGTCTAACGACCAAATTTCCTAAGGATGGTTGGCTTTTGACAGACTTTCCGTGCTAACTCTGTTTTTCAAAGCAGGCTGCCATCTCCATAACGATGTCATAAAATACACATATCACTTCCTAAGTTAACTATATATATTTTTTTAATCATTATTTGGCATGATCACTGACATCACATGGGCCCTGACATCACATTTCTAAACATTTTCTGCCTCTTCTATAGTCTCTGAACCTTACGGCCGAACTTTTCAATAATCCAATAAACATTTCAACACACCTTAAATTAAAAAAAAAAACCAAACCAAACCAAAACCACCACCAAACAAAAAGGCTGTGACTCAGCCACACGTGTCATTAAGTAATGCTCAGCTGGGCTCAACATAATTTCTGATTTTTAATTACCAGTATATACGTTTCCTTTGAATAACCACCTTGTTAAAGAGCTTGCTATGTGCCCTCGAGTGAAAATACAACAGCCTAGGTTCCAACAGCCTAATTGCTACCTAATTTCTCTTTATCCAGGGGCTCTTGTTCATGAGATGTTCTTGAATGTCTTGGACCACAGCCAGTAGAAAAATGCTGAGCCGAAGAACTTGGGTGGAATTGAGGCTGAATTAGTTTCAATCTGTCTGCAGGGCTCATATAAGTCTGAAGTTTTGCAGGATCTGGCCTTGAGGATCCGAATCACACCTACCCAAGGCAAAAGCTGCGTTTTGTCCCCACTTCTTGCAGTGATTTAGAAGGGTTCAAATGCCAGCTGGGATGGCGTTTGGATGGAGGAGCCCTGCCCGCCGTGACAGATGACATATGAGATCTCATCCCCCTTGCCAATACGAATTTGATCATCACACCACTGGAAAAACTCAAAGCTGTCGCCGAGGACTACGACACCTCAGCACTGGATCAGTCCCAGGAAAAACACCCAACAAACCTGCTTTTGAACAGAATCCATGATGTTCTTGAAGTCCAAATCATCGTAGTAATTCTCAATTCCTCTTCTAATGTTATCATTCAAAAAGTTGATTGTCTGGAAGGCAAAAGTAAGACAAGATTCCTGGGTTACACACGCCGAAACAAGATTGAAAGAGCAGGTTAAAGCGACAAGTGTAACTGATGAGCACAACAGGAAAGGCCCGTTTTTTTTAAAAAAAATAAAAAACAAATGCCAGTTAAAAACCCTAGCACAGCCCTGCAATGACTAAGCATTTGTTCTCTTTTAAGGAACCAGCCTCGCTGTTTTTTTTTGTGCTGGGAAGTGCTAACAGTGCGACACCACTCCAGAGAGGTGCTGCTTCTCTGACACCCTCCAACCATCTCCCAGAGATGCCCCCGTTATCCCCAGGCAGCATCCCTCCCACTGGGGACCCCCAGAACCTTTTGGGTGCCGGAACGGCAGGTTTGGGTGGTGGGTCCTAGCACTGTGACCTGCACCACACCCTGGGCTAGTGGCCCAAGGGAGACGAGAGCCAACTGTTTCCCCGCTCACCGTCTTCCATGAATTTCATTTCCCATGAATTTTATTTTCACCATTTTATTTTCCAAGGAGTTCATAATTTCCACATAAAGAGCTTTATTCCACCTTAAGCAGAGAAAAGGTGCATCTGTATGGTTTACAGCGGTGGTTTTGAGAAATACGGCAGCGGAGCAGTGGCAGGCAGAAAACGGTACCTCCTCGGCTCAGCATATTCGAAATTAAATCAACAAAACATTTTTAAAGTTCAGAAGATGGGGGGGGGAGGGGAGGAAAGGAAGAGTATTTAGTTTTCAACATCCAGCACCATCACAGCATAGCAAAAATCACGGGACTAGTCATAACCAGGACGTTCCAAATTTCCTTTCTGTCCAGCTGCTGATACGATCGAAGCTCAGTCCTTACGGGTCAGAAAGAAACCTGAAATACTCCTACTCGTTTTCTCTGTAATACAAACTGCAACACTCAAAACCAAACCAGAACAAAACGGTTATCACACCGGTGATTGCAAATAAGAAGGGGTTTTGCAGGACTATCCTTACTGGCCTGGAAGGAGCATCAGCGAATACTGGCAACTCTGGCGCTACCTTTATCACTGCATTTAGACTGGACAGATTCCAGAAGAAAACAGAGAAAGAAATGGAAAAAAACCAGTGAGACATGCAAAACAATCAGCATGTAACTAGAGGCTATTACCCTAAGCTTTTATTAAATACTTCCTTCTCCTCCCCTGACTAACCCCAATTTCTTCATTAACCTCATAAAACAAGCAAGGAAACCCGCCCCTGAGCATGGCTGTCCTGCTCAGAGAGCCAATGCACGTGTTGGGAAAACACTTACTGCACAAAAAAAACCCCAACGATACATTTTCCTTGCCTGAAAATCAACAGCAATTCTTCCTCCCCCTCTCAGCAAATACCAGCTTTGGCATTTACTTGATTTTCTGCCAACCAAATTCTCTGCATCCCGGGATGCCCACGCTCCTACGGCGGGCAGGCTGCTCTGCTCCCTTCGGATGAGCCTGGCGCTCCCACCGCAATTCAGAATAAATCCTTGCGCAGGGCCACCGCTCTCAGAAGTGAAGGTAGAGCATCCTCTGCCTTCAAGTCAAGCTCACGACTCCAGTCGAGCACAGAGTAAGAAGAAAACACTAGCAAGAGCAGTCAATACTGCTTCAAAATAACAATGACTGTATTTTTTTTTTAGTATCTTTTTAAAGGGTTTTTTAATGACATGCATAACATAGCATGCATGACTTCTTTTTTGTGGGAACGAGATCCGTAGGACTGCAGTGGGAAGAGGTCTTATTATTCAGCGTCTCCTTTTAAAAGCTCACATTTTGCCAGATTTGAAAAAAGAAAATCAAAGCACAGGAATCTAGTACTTGCCATGGTGGGCATATTTATGTTTTCAAACATTTTGAAAACAAAAAAACCAGTCTGCTTCTTCCCGTTTAGAAAAAGTAAGGTTTTTATATCATTATAGCATGCTTATAAATGGTGGGGTCTCCCACAGAAATTACGTTGCTTATGGGTGTGGGTAGGGAAGAGCTGGCCCTTACAGGCAGTAAAGCATTTTGGCCACTAAAAAAACATAACAAAGTCTCCAAATCCATCTGGAAACTTCCCAAATCAGCTGCCTGAGACCCAGAAACCAAATGAGAAGAAAGCACTTTGTAATACACGATGAGCTGGAAACTCATTTTGCCCATGTTGCACGTTCTTCGTTACCAGATTTTTCTCCAAATTCTTTGATCTGGAATTCATCTCCAGGACAGGTGGCCAATCCCACCCAACCCCGAACCTGAGAGACCCTGAAAAATCTGGACCTGCCTTCAGACCTCCATTATTTGCTCAGTGGCACGGCCACAGTGGGCTCATGGGTTGCCAACCACCTTCTCGGTGAGTAAAACCTAAAGGCGAGCGGCTCACCTGGTTCCTGAAGATCAGGGCCACCACTCCACCAGTCAGCTCAATCAGCAAGCAGATACCAAGAATGTACATGAACTGCAGAAAAACAATTGCAAGTGAGTCCCTGAACAGAAGAAACGCCAATTACCCTTTCAATTAGTGTCCTTCAGTCGGTAACGTTCAGCTGCCAACCTACTGGCTTTCTGCGTACGAGATGTCACTTTAAAGAAAGATACAAAACTATGGGTTTGTGCTTATAAAACTGTTGACGTCACAAGAAAGCCTTTTTTCCCCCCTCACTCGAGTCATTCTAGGGTTTGCCCAACTGGCAAACACGGTATTTTTCTGCCTTGAACGGACTCAAAACCAATAGATGCATTTATCGTGCCAAGATACTTCTCTCCATAACAGCATCCCAGAGAAGCATGATAACGGACTGCTATGAACCACACCAAACAGTTGGTTTTTACACTCCCTACAAAACCAGTGTTTACCTGTTAGCTTTCATTTTTGGGGTAAAGCAGTGCTTTGAGGTAATCCAAACCAACTTCTACTAAATTTCTGGACTTAAAGCAAAATTCTGGGTTTGGTACCTTTGCTGCTCCAGAAGAGGGGATGGAGCAGCGCTGCGTTACCGAGCCAGCTGAGCGATGGATACTAACAGGACTTGGGATGCTCAGCAGTAAGAAAAATTTAAGTCTGCCTCTTAATGGCGAGCTTTGTCAGGGAAGAAGTTCTAGCATCTCCTATCTGAAAATAATCTCTAAGGCTCTGCCTTGAAAGCCGGTTTAATTTCTGAGCTCTCAGTCCCTGGTAGGAGTGTCACAAACTCAAAACCCACAGTTACCTCTTGCTTTGGTCTACGTAACACGCCACAGCCACCACTTCTCTACCCTGCACTGACCTGAAGGTGAAAACGACGTTTGCGCGCTCTACTTTTAATGAGCCGCATGTGCAGCTTCCACCTGCAACCGCAGCGCTATACAGGAATTTCCCTAAACCCCCCTGCTTTGGTGGCACTGGCAAGCAAGCCCGTCTCCTTCCATTTCCCTCTTCGGCCCCTCTGTTCCCCTTGGGTGAGGGGCGGCACGGTTTCCTCCCCCCAGCACAGTCCCCCGACGCAGGGCATGCACCCACAGGACGGCCAGACCCGGGTCGGAGCAGGCGCTGTGGTGCCAGGCTAGCGTCAAATGCTGTGTCAACAGCTGAGTTTGCACAAGATCCATGCCGGCTGATAATAATTCGCATTCCTGGTTGTTTTCCATAAAGCCCTCCACTATTGGAGAGCTGTTTTTTTCAGCGCCGGGCTGTGACCCTTGCCTGTCCTGTCGCTGGCAAGACGAAATACTGCTGCTCCCTGAAGGATCCACAGACCACGGTTAGGTGGAGCACTGCCATAAAGCAGTTCCAGATTTAATTAAAATTAAAAAAAAAAAAAGGCAACTTTATTAAAATATTCTTCACTGCAGACATAGCTACGGTTTGGAGTTCAGGTGACACTGAAAAGCAAAAGCAACAAGTCTTGAAAATTAAGAATATAAACCCCAACACTTACTGCTTGAAGAAGGCATAAATTATCTCTTAAAGAAGCCAGCACACCCACAAAAGATACGAGGAACATTATAATGCCCAAAAGTATCAAAATAATCGCTGGTGCTAGAAAGGCACTTTCTAGAGTTTTGTACTTCTGTCTTTCAACTTCTGCATAAATCCCAACTGCGAGGACAAGGGCGCCGATCACCTGAAACAGGAAAAGAGAAGGGCACAGACGTTACTCCTTCAGTAAGCAGAGAGATGGCATGTTGTGCGCACACACGAACCTGTGACTACTCGCTTCAGAATTAATTACAGACAACTGAAACGCTCAGATCAGAAGGACGGATAATAAAACCAAAACAACTCAAAGCAGAAAAAAAGCCGAGTTAGAAATGAACAAATCTGTTTTTTTCTAAAACATATTTAGTAACGTTTTAACACTTGGGAAGCTAAACAAATTGAAACACACGCCACTGGTTGAAGTACAATTCATCTGAGATCACACGTATTACATACACTAGCAAATGCCATAGCATTAATATTCCCCCTTCGCCCGTCCGTCCGTTCTTCCCTCTCTGTGCGTGTATACGGCCCCGAGACGACATAATTTCTAAATCAGTCTGCAACCAACAGCTTGTATATCCCTTCCTACCAGCTCCTGTTGAATTTAGGCTCAGTAAATATGGCCAGGTTACACCTCCACTCCTCCAGCCATCAGGGGAAATACACCAGATTTAAAAATAAAACAAGAATTTGAAGTTAGGTGACTTTCTTGAGCACTACCAGATGAAATACTTTTTTTTTTTAAATTATGGGATATGTTAAAATAAATAACAACTTACTGGAAATTCTTGATTTTCTACAGGTACAAATAAAAAAAACCCAGGGGACATTATGTGAGGAATGCCACCAAGCTGTCATTTAAAAAAAGAGAAGAACCCTCAGAAGGGTTCACCGATAAAAATAAATATACCGAAGCTATTCAAAGAAACAACTTAAAATTTTACATGACCAAATTCAGAGTAACTGCAAAATTCAGAATTCTGGCAAATTCAGAAATCGTACTGAATATAAAAGGCAGAAGGGACAAACAGCGGACAAATAACAGGTACCCAAATTCACCATTTCTATGCTTCTACTGCAAAACTGTAATTGGGTTTTTTTATTACTAAATGCTCAGTTTGCAGTGTTAGCTTTATTCTTTAAAAAAAAAAAAAAATCAATTATTTGAATAATAAATTAGACATTGCTTCTCCAGCAGAAGACAACATACACAAATCAGTTTGAAATTTTTAAACACCGAACAGTCGAGGAGTCTCAGAACCACACAAAACAATTACGGAATATAAACATGGTGACTGTACGGGTATGTGACTAAAGAGTTCTAGTAGTATTATTATTTTAAAAAATAAAAATAAGAAAAACAACCCACACCAAACACACACACTAAAAGCCTGCTACCTCTGCGTCCGCACCGTATTTTCCCTGCTCGGAAAGCAGTGGGGAAGACAATTTAAAACCAGACTGTCCCGCCGACACTAAAGCACTTAACAAGCTCAACGTTCGCCTGGTACATTCTTTGTTTACAAAATGAAAATAAAACCCCAAACCACTGGACATAGAACACAGGGATTAAAGATCGATGGGGATTAGCTGAATCTCAAATTCCCACCTATTACAGCTTTTCCTGCCCCAAGGAGCCAACATCCCAGAGGAATTACAGGATTAAAGCTATCTCATGGCCCCCAGGGAATGAACAGGGTGCTGCTCACCACCCCTCCGCTCTCTCCCACCAAGCCGCCTGCTCTGGAAGGCTTCAGGGTACCAGCCATTACAATGATGTCACCCCCGCAAGACGAAGGCTGAGAAACACCCGGTTTTTATTTAAATCCCAGGAGCAATCCCGATTTAACAGGTCCGCAAAGCACGGAGGCATGCCAAGGGCACGTGCCGCGGGGAGGTGGGAAGGCTTCGCGCTGCATTCAGCAGCATCGGCGGGGAAAAGCATCAGCTAACAAATGGAAAACTCGGATCGACCCATCGTGAAGTAGATACACACACGCATTACAAAATTTATACAGATTTTGAAGCATAAAATAAGTAGTACGAGTTGAAAAACCCCCACCTAAGCACACAACTAAATCCTCATTCCTTACAAGCAGGATTTGTGCTTTTATTCTCTTCTATTTCTTTAAGCGTTTAATAAAGACCTTTTAAAGCCTTAACATGGTCAAACCAAGAGTAGCGATTATTTACGCCAAGCAGACGCGTTAACTTAGCAACCATCCCACCCGGGTCTCCTCTCCCTTCCTGTGACCAGGGATGGAAACGCCACTTTTACGTAGGCAGCCTGCAAATACACGTGCTGTTTACATCCTGCATCCTTCACAACACCTCTCGGCGATGTGGCAACTCATGCTGTGTCCGCAGGAAAAATTCACCGGCCTTGACTCGCGTGAAATGAGTATTCACCGGCAAATACCCGGGACATTTTCTGGGGTTTTTCCACGTGCAGAAGTTGCTTTCCCAAGAGAAAGGCCAAGCGCTCATTTATATGCGGTGGGTTTAACCCTGTATTTACAATATTTATTCTTAAGGAAAGCACCCATTCAAAAAATCACATTGTAGCCTCATTCGCCAGCAAAATAGTTGTCTGAAAAAGTTACAGTGACTAGTTGTTAAAAAAAAAAAAAGCCCGGGGAAGATACAGCCGCCACGGGGCCGGCAGCAAACATCCCCTCTGGCTCTTCCAGCCATGCTTTCATTTCCTTTCTGCTTTCGGTTAGGGCTGATATTTAGCTCCCGGTGATTTTAAGCAATCCTGAGGACTCGAATCCAGGTGTTCCTCGCTTGCACGGGTACCGGAGGAACAACAACAGCAGGGAGGAAACTGAACGGCCTCGACATCCTGTACGTCAATGCTCCAAAAAGCGGCAAAAGAACACAAGCCACCTAAAATTGAAGCGAGCCATACACCATGGCCAAATCACACTCCCATTTACACCCATTAAAAAGAAAAAAAAAAAGTCAGTGAGACTAACAGAGCTGAGAAAAGAACCAGCCTGCTGATATTTAGGGCTAATGAGATCCGCTTCACTAAACTGGGATAACAGAAAACTCCGAGAGAGAAACCCAGGCGACACGGCGTGTGCTGGGCCCGAACGCTGGGAGCACGCTGCCCAGTGCCATCAGCTCCCATCCTTCCCCTTCCCACAGCCCTCATCCCTCCCGGAGCAAACCATCTCCCTGGCAGAGCCGACAAACGGAAGCTCTTGGCTATAAACAAGGGCATTGAAAATCCAGAGCGAGCGACGACAAAGAGTAAATAAAATCCTCCGGCTGCTTGAAAGAGGCTTTGTCCTCTGGGGACGCTCTGAGAAACGTTTGAAGAGGGCCCTTTTTCTGCTACCAGATTAATTTTTACATCCCACCGGCAAGGGCCCTTGCTGCCAACGGGAAACGCGGAGCAGACAACGTGCACGGTCCTTCACGAAGGACAGGCGGAGAGCAGCGGGTCTGGAAAACAACGCAACAAGCTGCCCTTGTCCGAAAATCACACCTGCAGAATAGCTGCTGTGGAGTAAAGTAGGGAACTTCAGGAATCTAATCCCAAGGGTTTTCCTCGGTTGGTTTGTCTGCTAGGAAAGACACAAGATAACCAGGATCCCAAAAGCTCTGAATTACACCCAAACGCTTTGCGTTTCAATTTTGGTTCATCCTGAAGTCACGGCTTTAATCAGACACGTGCTATCGGACCGGGTGGATCTAAACATCTTCTCCCACTCTACACGCCGAAAGCTTTAGGCTCCCACCTCGTAAATACCACGTCTGCTAATACAGAAGCACAGACCAGCAGAACGAGAGCTTTAAGCGGGGTTTAAACCCAAAGAGCCAGAAAAGAAACCCCGCCTAAGCATCGCATCCGTCGGTACAGCCCGGAGCCAGCATCACCCCCCACCGTCCCAGAGCCTGAAAAAGCACCTTTGAAAACCGAGCTCCTTATAACGAGCCCGGAGGGCCCCTTGCAGCCCGGGGGGTGCCTGGAGAGGGGGCGTTCGCCCCGTCTGAGAGCTCAGCGCTAACAGCCCGGCCCCAAAGGCTGGGACTGCGCGGCCATCCGGAGACGGCACGCAGCTCTACCCCAAACTCGGGCGTGACACACCTTCGAGTTCTACAGCCTCACGGCCCCATCCAGCTGGGGCTCAGGAAAAGGGGTTATCCTACGCCAAGCTCCCCGGGGTGAGGGTCCCCGCTTCCCGGGAAGGCGCGG